TCCCGGAAATATAGGCGTAAGGGAATGTAGGTATAATAGGAATAGGTGGAATTATTAGGACATCGTTGCACTCTCTTCTATAGATTTATTGATATCTTGGGTTATTTGTCTACTGAGCGGTTCTCATTGAAAGGTAATATGGGTGGATGTTGCTTCTACCTACAAATAGGGTCATAATCGAATATAGTATACAGTGTAGGTATTTTTTCAGGTGCCAGTACCGGTACTACTTTCCTGTATACTCGGTCGTCCTTAAAAGGACAATGGGGATCTTTAACGTCCGCACCTAGCCTATTCGGCCTTATCGGACGTTTTGATTCTCAAGAAAAGAGCTGACCTGACGCATCTCTGCATACGACAGAATGGTGTTACTGCCGCAGCGTTGGTGTAGAGGTAGCTCAGCCCCGAGGGGCCAAGACAACTTCGCTCCTCGCTTGCCCATTCCGAGTGGTCGGGTTCGCATTAAGCATCGAACCGTATGCCGCGCGCAAAGGGCTACCTAAGCCGAAATATATCAGCACACTCCCTAGATAGAGAAGGCCACTCTATCTCCCAGAGTATTGGGTCTTCCCAAGCGTAGAAACTACCGGATCCACTCCGGCCGCGGTTTTGTTTAAAGTGCCAGTACCGGTATATACCTCCGTCTCATCCATGAGTTTTATCCTTTCCAGCTGTAACAATGCGTTTGTCAGTTTAATAATAAATTTACAGTGTCTGGCGCCTTTGGACCTTCTGTTTTTGTGAACCAATTCTGAGATGGAGGATTTCTTTCTTATTTCCTCCTCTGGCCAATTTGTCCAATTTTTCATCACCCAGAATTCCTATGTATCCTGGCATCCAAGGATATTGTCAAATTGTTGTATCTCCCCAGATTTTGTAGATTTTGGATGCATTCATTGACTATTAAGATTTTGTACGGCTCAAACATTGATATAATGTATTTAGGCATGAAAGACAGAGGTGTACTTCTTTTATGAGTTTTATTGATTATATTTTTGGGTTGCACGAATCCGGTCCCTTCGTTTGTTTTGGAGCCATCTGTGTTGACTTTGACCTGATTTGTCTTTCACATTTATATTCTGTTATGATTTACGGGTGTACAAAGGAAATTTCCGGGTTCATTTCTAGCAATGGGTGTCTGATTTTATTATTATTGTTGTATGAGAAAAATGTTTGGTCCTCAACCAATTAAATTTAAAAAAATCTGAATGAGCTTTTCTTAGCTTCTCATTGTACAAAAGTTTTCGCGGAGGTAGGATTAGCAGTATTTTTAAAGCAGTTGACAGGGTTTTTTTCATTGCCCATTGCCAGTTTTACGAACACTCTGGATCAGGTATGGTCTTGAAGAAGCAAGCAAATTTATTTGCTCCTACCAAGATTTCGACCTATTTTAAGGTCATCATCAGGGCAAAACAAAGGCTGTCTACGGATTGGCATATTTCAGTTTTTTTAATGTGCAATCTCAAATTTTCTTGAAGACCGATTCAATCCCAACATTGCCAAGGACTGTAATAATATATGCATTGTATATGTGTTAACAGTAAGACCATACGTTGATCCAGAGTGTTCGTAAGTGAACATGTGGTCGATACGTCCAATACACACATAGTTTTGCTAATCTTTGTATGCTACCTCGTAGTTGGGTAGCTAGAATAAAGAGGAGAGAGAGAGAGAGAGAGAGAGAGAGAGTGGTAGATAGAGGTACGATCAAGTATCATTTATACGGATGTCTTACTTAAACTTCCCAATATCATCACAACTTGGGAATTTTTTCTTCTGTTCATCAAGATCCCCTTTAGCTTATCAAAGAATGGTCCACAAATGGGAAAACAAAACTAAACGAGATAAATGCACACTATGTACATTTACACTGAAGAGAAAATTTCCCTCCATTACAACTCCAAAACCAAGAGCCAACAATTCACATTAGACACTGACGACTATATGTAAACCTTCGTGCAATTCTCACACAAAACTTAAAAGAGAGGCAAGAATTTAACAAAGACGGTCATTTGCAAAGGATTTCACGAAAGAAAAGGGCTATGACTCTAATCAAATTTGTACAAACTAACTCTGAACTTACAGAGCGAAACTCAGAGGTTTCAAATTTAATAGCCAGCGCATCCAATCAAAAGGCGATGGATTTACGAAACTATCCTTAATATACACAATGACATGAACACTACTTTTGTCAACGAATTAATATTTTCCTGTTATTCAAACTCACATTTCAACTTCAATCCACATTCCCACTGCTCAACCCGTCTACACTTTTTATTAGGTTTCGTGGTCCGCTTGACCTAAGGTTTTTGGTTGAGATAAAAAATCAGTGTCACAAGTGGGATTCGAACTCACGACGTTCGGCTAAATACGCCGCTGCTCTACCACTTGAGCTGTCGTGACTTCGATCCACTTGAAAAACGGTAAAAAGAAGGGAAAATTAAAAAGGTGGGGTTGAGATGGGAAGTTAGTGTCCGAGTGGATCGAAGTCACGATAGCTCAAGTGGGTTCGAATCCCGCTTGTGACACTGACTTTTTTATCTCAACCATAAACCTGTCTACACTATTCCATCTTAAGCACCATCCAGGCCATCTTACACAACGACGATCTCGGGACCTTCTCGCCCCTGCAGAAATCTCTCGCTGAGTGCAGCGTTGGTTGGTTGAGCTTGTGAAAATTTTGAATATTATTTCTAAAGTATAAAAATGTATTGCAGATGGTTAGGTCTATAGAAGTTTTATTTCAAGAATAACTTATAATCATTGTTATTACTATTTAAAAAGGCTGACAGATATATCATTCTTCTGGAAAGATTTTAAATAAATAACTGAATTGTAGTGTTTTTAAACTGTTTAAACTTAAAACTCAAACAGACTTTTCTACTTGGCGGTTTGTCAAAAGCTCGGTGTAATTTTTCTTCTCCCCATAGTATTAGATGGACTCAAACTACAAGCATAACCGATAAAACAGAAACTCCTCTTATTTATCGATGGCCCCCTAACGTTCGTCTATCCTAATTCGACATGGTATTATTTATCCGCACCTGGTTTAAGGAGTCGCCATGGAAACGCCCCTTCGCCTGTGTTTTATTGAAGGTAATCTCGAATGACCGGTCGTAATTTTCCTTCTGCCTTTAAGTGTTTGTGTCAGCGCGGGTCCATTTGTCCTTCTGAGATGCCCTGGAATATTTAACATCAAGACCCCGAAAGATGGAGGGTCTCAGTGCACAATTTTTCCTTCGGGTTAATACTAACAAAATTGATGATATTTGTACACTCCTTCAACGTTGTTCAATATGTTTTTTGCAATTTGTGAATTAACGTTTAGTTCGGTCGTTTCCGTTCGTTCCGGTCTCCCTGTCCTGGTTGTTTTGGTCTGTCGAACAAGATTCGGCGTTTCCCCATCCTCAGTGGTTGGCCCGTGTGTTATTCTATTACAACAAACATTACAAAATAAGATTTCTTACTAACCAACTATTAAAGGTTGCGAAATGTTAAAACACGCCTGACAGGCCAAAACTGTGAGAATAGACAGACCGGGATCAAATTACAATATATTTTTTATTATTTATATTTTATTACAATATATTTTTATTGGAAAAATAATAAGGTGATGGAGAACTTCTTATGTACATTTTTTCGATTTGGGTTGAACATTTACATCCTAATTTATTAATTCTTCTTTAAGTTCACGCAGTTTTTTGCGTCTCAGGTGATGGACAAGTGCCGATTTGTCTTTCTCTCTCTCATTTTTTCTCTCAACCTTTCTCTATCTCTTTCTCTGTCCGTGTCTGTCTATCTTCTCCATTCTCCCTCTCTCTCTCTTTCTATCTTTATATCTATCTATCTACCTCTCTATTTTCGTTTCTGTTTATCTCTCTCTCTCTTTCTTTCTCGGTCCATGTCTTTCTAACTTTCCCACTCACTCTCTCTCACTCTCTCTCTCTCTCTGTATCTATCTATCTATTTATCTATCTATCTATCTATCTCTCTGTGTTTCTGTTTCTCTCTCTTTCTCCCTTTTTCTCTCTCTCTCTGTCCCTGTCTCTCTATCTTTCCCATTCTCTCTCTCTCTCTCTCTCTCTCTCTCTCTCTCTCTCTCTCTCTCTCTCTCTCTATCTATCTTTATATTTATATATCTTTGTGTTTGCGTTTCTCTTTATCTCTCTCTCTCTGTTTATCTATCTATCTATCTTTATATTTATATATCTTTGTGTTTGCGTTTCTGTTTATCTCTCTCTCTCTCATTTTTCTTCCTTTCTTTGTCCTTGTCCGTCTATCTTTCCCATTCTCTTTCTCTCTCTCTCACTCTCTCTTTCTCTATCTCTATCTATCTACTTACCTCTCTCTATATATCAAATCTACCTGTCTTAATCGTCGTAATAATAGGTGGTCTAAACCCAAAAATGTTCTCCCACATCGGAACATACATTGTCAATGATTCAAACGATTAATATTTTGTCCAGTTTTAAAAGGGCCTTGAAGATATATTTACAGGAAAAATGGTATTACGACATAAATGAATTTTTTAGTACTTCAAGGCCATGATACCTTATTGTGATAATTATGCAATTATTTTTTAAGTCTAATTTTATTAATTTACATTAATTTACCTTAACATAACGTTTCTACATACAACGTATAATGGGACAATTATTCTATTCTCTCTATTCTCTCCCTCCCTCCAGATTTTTCACTTTTAAGAATTATCTTAATTTGCAAAATGCACATCAATACTAAACTATGCGTGTCAAGGTGTGTTGAGGAGTAGAAAGTACAGAAGCGATTCATCTTATCTTACTTTTTCAAATTTACTTCGTTTTATAACTATACTTAATACCTGCTCTCAGGTAAAATTCTTCTACCAAAATCCGAGGGAGGGGCAGTTTTACAAATCTATGAGATTTCTTTTACAGGTGAGGTCACATATTTGATTATTATTATTTTGGTTTTTAGACAGAAGGCAATTTTTCCAATTTGTTGCAAATACAAACACACTATTATTTATGATTGTCTTATTTCATTTTAAAGCAATTTACAATATGTTGTATTTCTGTCTTATTGTTAGCCCAATTTTCTATATAGACTTGCATTATATATAACAAAACAACATTATTATATAACATTATAGTTGTTTCTAGAATCGAAGCCTTCTCGTAACATCTCTCTAAAACTTGATTTCCTTAAGATTTTGGTGTTTGCCAAGCTGTAACAAATACAAATGTCTATTTTATTATCATTCGTATTACAATTTAAGTAATGTATCTTGTAGGCACCAGTCAAGCAATGATATATAATATATTTTTTATTTTCACCCCTCCTTTTTTTAAAAACTTTTTCTTTATGTTATTCATAATAAACCAACTTAGACAACGACGTTTTAATTTATTGTGTTTAATTTCTTGGATGAGTCCAATATTATTTTGCCTTTTTACAGGAACTTAAATCATGTTTTCCATTACACTAAAAGAGATAAATAGATAAAAATCTCTCAGATTATCATTGTGGTTATCCATAGCATACTCATGATTTTGGAGAGGTGTTTATAAATTAAATCGAAATTAAGTGTCTGATAATTTAAACCTGCCAGACATTACTGATATAGGTGTTAAATCACCAAACATTTCTTAAACAATGTTAATCCAGTTAACTTTTGTCATAAAATACATGCAATTAAGTACGTTTTGATCCAAAAAACATAAAATCTATAGAAATAACCATTTGCCTGGGGGGAGAAAAGTTATGTAGGGTGCCTCATGCCCAGTTTGACTTCAACATTTCAAATACGATCCTACACATCCTGACACATCATTTTAAAGGTTTTCTTGGTGCAATCGGATTTTAAATGGATCAAAAAATGACAATCCTTTAAAATGATTTTTTTGATGAATTTTTCTTCAAACTTTAAAAATTTAAACTAGACTAAACAATATTAAACACACATACACACACACACATATATATTTTTTTATAGCATAATTGGTTCAAGAGAAATTCACTCGGCCCATCTAAAAAGGACACCCTGTATCTGCTAGAAAACCCTACCATACGATTTCGTAGCATTGAACTAACTGTAAAATCAAACAATGATTTTCTTTATAACCTATTGATATTTGATAAACTGAATCATGTAAGTTTGTTATGTACAAAATTTCACATTCACACGCACTACTTCGTCAAGTTTGCCATTAAGTAACATCTATCAATCTCTTATTCATATTAGTTATTCTATTTTCTTTTTCTGGTTGTTTTTCTTTTATCTTTTTGTGTGCTTTTAATTGTTTTTCCGGAACATTAATTCAATTCTTCTTTATTACTCCTTTTTCCTTGCTTTTTCCTTCCTGCTACTATCCACTTCTTTTTTAATTTTATGTAATGCTGTTCCAAACTTTTTTTATTGGTTATCAATTTTTTTAGTATGCTTTCAATGAATTATTTTTGTTAACGTGCTTTTTATTATTTTAAATCGATTTGGAAGGGGATCTTTTTCCTGCCTGCGCTCCTTTTTTATTATTTTATTGTATCCACTTTTTTTTTAAATTTTGTATTTACTGTTGCAACTATTGTATTAAATTTTTTTATTCCTTGTCTGTTTTTGTCCTGATTGGTTTTTTCTTCTTGTTTGGGAATTTAAAAAAAAATCTAAATTGATTTTGACAGTCTTTTTCCTGCAACCATCCTTTACTTTTTTAAAATTTTTATTGTATTTGCGGTTAAATCGAATTCGGGTGATTTTTATCTTGCTGCCACTCCTTTCTTATTTTTTTGGTTTTATTGTATTCGTTGTTCCTATTATACGTTTTTAATATCAATAATATTATTTATTATTTTTTGTTGTTATCAAACTTTTCTTTTTCTGCTTGTTTGTTATTGATGTTTTAACTGTTTTCTAGGAATATTAATACATTTCTTACTTTTTAAAAAAATGATTTAAATCGATTTCGGAGGCTTTTTGCAGCCAGCACTCTTTACTTGTTTATTTTATTGTATATGCTCTGTTCCAACAGTTAAAATTTTTTATTCTCCTTTTCTGTTTCTTTTCCTTTTTTAATTTGGTGTTTTTAAAATTGTCCAAGAGCATAAATACAACCCTTTATGTTTTATTGATTTATGTTTATTTCATTTGTTGTTTTTTTCGTGCCACCACGCTTCACATCTTTTTTGAATTTATCGAAAATACTGTTCCAACTTTCACGTTTTGTTTATTTAGTCATAGTCTTTAAAAAGCCGCTTAAAAAACATTCAGTTTCTTTAAATTCCATAAAACGGAACTGCCCATCCTGAATTTTTCATGATTATTTACGCTTAGGAAATGGTGCAATGAACCCTCTTTTCACGACACCCACAAGGGTAGTTGGCTGTAAAGTCCCTCCACTATTTCCTCTTCTATGTCTACCAATCGGCTGTGTTCTGCCGAAACAGGTATTTTTGCCCTTGCGGATAGGATTTTGTTGCTGTTACGGTCTGTCCGTAAAGGACTTTAGAAACTGGGGTGCATTTTGAGAATCCACTCGGAAGAAAAATACAAAAACAAAAACAAACTGGTTAAAATGTTAAAGCATCTTATAATTCTTATGTTGTGAAATGTATTGTTTTAACCAATACATTATAAGTATGGTAAAGTTGTTTAATTGAAAGCAACCATAGCAAAGCTCTAGAAGAAACAATTTGATCCTCACAATTTGCTTTAATTAATATTTGCTCTATTCGTCAGTAATGATTAACACAATACTGTTGATAGTTCGTTATAAATACCAGCGCAATTATAGTCATAATTTCTAAACTAAAGCTGACAAGGTACGTCACAACTTAATATTAACGTTATATTGAATTGATCATAATTTATTCGGTATTTATTGTTAACATCAGAAAAATTTAATAATGAATTTTTTATAAAACTCTTGCTTGGTTTAATTGTTTTGTGCGAATCGTTTTAAGTTCTGGGCTTTTCTAGGCTTGAGTAAAAAAATTCAATTCATTGTGAAAAATGAAAACAAACGTAAGCAATCATGAGTCAAGTAAAGGATGAAGTGACAAAAATTTTGTACCCGCTATGCTCATCAAAATTATTGTAGATGAAGTAAGAAAAACAAATTGTTTTTACCACGACATAAATAATTGACCTATTACATAAACATGATTATCAAGTTATCTGAACTATAAAACATATGAATTGAATATGAATATGAAAATAAGAATGAAAAAAATATTTCAACAAAAAAAACACAAAATCTCAACGCACTGAAAGTGTAATTAACGGGGTGGAGGTTTGTGTTAAGTGGTGGAAATGGCAATAAACATAATGAAAAATCAATGTTTTTCAATGAACAAAACTGATGATTCGAAAAAGTTACGAGGGAAGAAATAATTGATGAATGAGCGTGAAACTTTTCAAAGGTCAAACAATTAACAACCGTTTTGAAATTTCGCGGGAGGGAGATCGTGCAAAATCAAAACTTTATTTTGCTGTTTTATATTCCAGTCGAATCCATTTTGCGCACTTGAATGTTGCTGAATTGGCTAAGATTTTTAAATGATTATAAATAAAGAATCCGTTTACTCCCCTACTTGCTAACTAACCCCGTTTTCGGTTTATCCACAAACCTCACTCTTTCACAAAATTACTGTATTTAAAATTTAAAATTAAGAAAAAAATTAATTTGAAGAATATGAGAACTTGATCGTTATACACGTGGACTTTTCCCCTTCTCTTCTACCTAGGTATTGAAAAAAACATAAGACTTAAGAAAAAAGAAAAATGAAATTGAATGGTTTAAGAAGCACCAGTTCCGCACGCATTTTATGCAGCTGTAATTTTACATTGGATTTATGTTACTGCTGTTTTGCAAGGATGTTTCCCTGCTTCACTAACATTGTGACTAGTTTCTTATGCATCATCTATCATTTACCTGTTTAAAAGTGTCTTGTTGGAAATAGTTTGATAAATAGAATTTTTCTTATTTTTCTCTAAACAAACAAAATCTGACCTAAGGAAATTTTCGAAAGAATCATAAAGCAACAAGTTAAATTTATAAAGAAATAATAAATTTTTTTACCGAAATAAAATTTAATTTGAACAAACTATTTATAAGGCATTTTTAAACTGATAATTTATCTCCCCAGAGGCACCTCTGCCTTTTTTCTTTTTATTCAATTTAAAAGAAATATTTTCCATATTCACAAACATAGATAGCAAGACTCAATTGATATGGAAATAAAGGAAGACAAGTTCCAACGCATGATACGGATAGAATGTTAGGAACTAGGAATATTGCTTCATATATATTTCTCTGAAAGACACCGATATAATTTTAATAAATTAAAGATAAATTTACGTGCTATTCAGCCGAACTGTGCTATTTGTAACAGTAGTACTTTCTGGCTTTTTTACCAGTGTGCAAGTGTGCTATTTTGTCAATTCTTGTAACACAACGGAAGTTTACTTTCTATGCGAAGCCGCTTATAACGAAATTGTGCACAAAAGAATTGTGTAAAAGAATATGTTGTAACTGTAATAAACAAAACTTCTCTTTATTTATCAGACTACAACAAAAATTCTTTGAAGTAAAAATCAATACTCTTCTCTGAGATATTTATGAATAAATCTATTAACCAAAAACGTTACCTTATAAAAAAGTAAAAATACCGTGAGTAAATAAAGATGGAAATTTAAAAGGAAGTATTGACTCACGGTGGGTCCAATAACACCTTTGTCAGGACTGACCCTTCGGCCTTGATGCCCGATAGCTTCCTCCTACTATTTACAAACATACGATCCTCTCAGAATCAGAAAAGAATAAACAAATTAAATGGAAAAGAAATAGATCAAAACGGTGATCAAAGCAGGTTAAAATTCAATATAATCCAAAGATTTCTATCAAGTCAAATTAAACAAATAGTCTCTCAATTCAGCTTTATTCTTATCAAATCCATTAGAGTTCGTGGTCTGATTGATCAAATAACTTCTTTCAATTAATTAAACTTTACGTAAGGTATTGGTTGAGACAAAAAAGTCAATGTCTCGAGCGGGATTCGAACCCACGACCTTCGGCTAAATACGCCGCTGCTCTACTACTTGAGCTATCGTGACTTCCATTCACTCGGACACAAACTTCCCATCTTCACGATTGCTCAAGTGGTAGAGAAGCGGCGTATTTAGCCGAAGGTCGTGGGTTCGAATCCCGCTTGTGACACTGACTTTTTTTATCTCAACCAATATCTTACATAGAGTTTAATTAATTGAAAGAAGTTATTTAGTCAATTGGACCATGAACTCTAATAGATTTAATAAGAAAAATGAAGTTCACTCTTTGTCACCATTTTATTTGTCGCCGAGAATCGAATAGATTACACATTTGAAAAATGGCCAAATGGAGGGAAAATTCGAAAGGTGGGTTGAGATGAGAAGTTGGGGTCCGAGTGGATCGAAGTCACGATAGCTCAAGCGGTAGAGCAGCAGCGTTTTTAGACGAAGGTCGTGGGTTCGAATCCCGCTCGTGACACTAGCTTTTTCATTTCCTTAATTAAAGATTAATAAGTGATAATATTAAATATTGATAATTGATCATGGAAATGACCTTAGATTACGATAAGAAGTTAACAACCATACAATTTTTAAAATTTCTGTTATTACACTGCATAAATTAGACCACATAAATCGATGATTTTTGATCTATGGCTGGGAAATGGTTCTTTAAGCCTTGTTCCTGTAAAATAATACACAATAATCTTAGCTTATTCGATGAGCTATTGAGCCGAAGGTCGCGGGTTCGAATCCCGCTCGTGACACTGACTTTTTATCTCAACCAATACCTTACTTAAAGTTTAATTTATTCTTATCTTTAGCATTTAAAAAAATCGTTAATTACTAACCCGTATTAAAAATAACTTATGAATGACATTTCGAAAGTTATGTTGAATTGATAGAAAGAGATCACATTTCTGGGTCCGTCTGTTCTCGTCGGTTAACCGGACTGTGTTGATCATGGTATAATAGCACAATAAAACATTTAACTCCACACAATGTTTGGTTGAATAACATCAGTGTTTGTTTCTCACAAACCTAGAATGTCTCATATGTGAGGGACCAATTTGAGTTTTGGAAATGTCCATTAATTACCACAGCTTTATTAAATATGGTTATGGAGGAATTTACACGTGGATGTTTTACTTGTGAGCAATAAGATCTAAAAATAATGTAGGGTTTAATATACGTACGTTAAAACACCACCTGCGATTAAGGGTAAATTGAATTCTTCCTGACCCGTATGTTTCTATAAAAAAGAATTTGCTAATTCAAATAATTGATTTTAGGAAGTTTTATATTTGGTTGAAGAATGACAATTGTGAGGAAGGATTGTGGGGCTTAAGAATTTTCCCTGATACATATTTGTATTAATAGAGTAATCAAGGTAAATTGACTCCTTACAGATCTTATCATAATCATATAAACATTTTTCAATATGTAATATTGTTTAGAAGGTTTCTTTGTGACGACTGGATCATGGAGTTGGACGTTCTTTCAGACACAATCGCGGGGCTCAAAACATTTCCTTGAAAGACACCCATTGGTATTGCAGAAATAAGAAATAATAATAGTTTGTTACAAACCTGATTTTCCTTTTTGATGATTGCAATTCCAAATAATTACTTTCGATGTCAATTCACCATTAGGGAATAATGTAAATTTTTTACTGGATTTTTCTTATATTAATAACACAGATAAATAAGCATTGTAATTATTATGAATATTTTAATATAAAGTTAAACCTGTCGAGTTAACAATCGACGTGGCCGTTATGAAACGTGTAATATTCTGAATTTAATTTAGCGAGCTATTGTGGGGCAATGCTCAACGACCATGAACCCTGTGAGTAGGTGTATGTGAAACTTCATGATAATAGGTTATATATTATATTTTTCATTTCGATATCAAATAAAACCGAGATGGTTGAAAATAAATTCATTATTCGTGAAATGGGGATACGAATATGTAATAAATATTGTGTTGAAATTCGACAATTGTTTTTTTATTAACTTGGATTTTTCACTGCAAAAAAATCTCACGAAATTGATAATTCCATTTTTATAGTTGTAATTAAAATAAGTTAAATTTTTTTGTTCGAAAAGGGTTATTAACTAGATATTAAGTGGGATGTTCCGTAATTACATTTCAAGAAAAGCCTATCTTCGAAGAAAAGCACTGATTGGATATGATCTGATTACAGACACTTTAATTATCTTTAATTACGAACCGGTTCCCTCTTGTAAGGAAAACCATGGAGAATTCTTTCTCCTAATTACCCTCCTATTCAAAAGCGGATATAATTTTTTTTCCATCTGCAGATCGCTTTTCAAACGAAATAATGAGAATGGAACTGGAAGCCGAAATAACTGAAACAATGTTGAACAATCTTTGAACCACCGATGATAATTAATTTGAATGCCGATCAGAAATTAAGCATAATTCTAATGGACTGGAGGATGAAGATTCCATAAATGGTCACAAAATGTTTGAAAAATTGAAATGTTTACCCTTCTGTATTCACGATGGTTTGGATTTCTTTGGGCCCGTCAATTTGCGCTTGGTAACTAGTTGAGGCTGTTTTAATTTAACTATCACATGAACTATTTCATGCAGGCTTATGGCAAAATGAAACGGTGGACGCACTTGCAAAGGAGACTGCAACATCAGGTCCAACCCTTGACATTAAAATTCCTAAAGATGACGGAAAAACCTTTTGGAAAAGTTTTGTCGAAATATGTGGCAAGAAAAATACAACGCATCAAATGTTGGCAATTATTACAGGTCACTGTTCCCTGAGTTCAAGAAAAAACCATGGTTTTCGGAAGGCGATTGCCCAGAAGGAATGTCAAAGGAGTACTCTACTATTTTTAGACTGAAGACAAATCATGGCCTATGGGGTAGCTACAAGAGAATCGGTTTGGCGTCGTCTCCGAACTGTCCTACTTGCGATTGCCCTTCAAATCCTTCCCACATAATTTTTGAATATCCAGAATACGAAAATGAAAGAGACAAACTTCTAAAAAATCTGAGCAAAGTCCCAAACATTTCCAAACCAATAAACTTAGAATCTGTCCTAATAAGCAACATCCATCAGCTTTCAAGATAATCTATGGATTTCTAAAGTCGATAAATGTTTCTTTTTGATTATCTTCAACCATGAAAATTTAGAAGATGAGAAGATGAACGAGCGGGTGCGGGCGCGCGGCGGGGACCTGGTCCGGGTCGGCCGATCCCGCTCGACAGTAAAATGAAAATAGAAAACTTCATGCCAGCGTAAACAAAAAAAACTATTTCTATAACTATTTCTTGGTGTATTTTTATTATTGTTAATCAAATAAATAATTCGGGTCTCCCCATTATTTTCGACTGCCCGAAAATTTAATTATATATATATATATACAGGGTGAATTGCTACTCGTGCTACAAACTTCTCCAGTAGATTCTTCACCCTAAAATGAACAAAAAAGTTCATATTGTCCATGGTCCGATTCTCAACCATTTCAGAGTAANAATCGAACCCGGGACCTTTACCTTACAGTGATGAGCGCCGTGTCAACACCTAAACCGTTGCGGCCACCGGAAAGTTACAGGAAAGTCTGTACAATATGTTCGATATACTTAATGATTTTAAATATAACGACACACCGTTAGAAAAAATGTAATATAATCAATAATTAAATTAAAATAACCAAATACAAAGACCAATAAGATCAGTTTAGGTTACAAGCGGTTCAAAAAATACTAATTAAGATTTTGAAACTTGTATTAAATTTTTTATTACATTTATTTGATGTTTAGTACAAAATTAATGTATTAGGTAAATTTTTCTATATAGGCTGAATTTGTTGTTTGACTTACTTGCACGAGAATCTCGTCATTAGTCACCTAACTCAGACTCTTTCGGGACTACTTTCGCTCGTCTAGGCAGGTTTTCTGGTATGGTCGGAAGTGATAAGTGTCGTACTAGTAGATTATTGTGGATGCATTTGTTTGAGTGAGAATTTGGCTAGAATCATAGTCTTGTTGGATGATAGAAGAAGTCAAGCGTATGAGGCCAGATTTCTTAACATTCTCAGAACAACTGTCCGAAAGGTCTTCCATTGTTACCAAGATACCCAAGAAGGCATGGATCAGGTGGTCATCGTATCTATCTCAGAGAGATGATTGTTTTATTGTTTCAAATGTACTTTCAACAAGTTAGAAATGATAAAGTCAGTTTACGCACTGTTAACTTTCAGAAGCTCGATTACGTGTGAAAAACGCCTACCACTGGTCCAGAGCCATGCACAAGGCATAGAACAGCTCGGATAAGTTTCGTAAGAAATCACATCAATTGATCTGAGCAATATTGAACTAAAATCTTGTTTTCCGATGGGTCAAGCTTTTGTTTAAGGTCTTTTGATGGCCGAGAGAGGGTTTCGGACAATAACAGGTGAGCGGGGGCATCGGTGGCCGCAACGGTTTAAGGCGTTGACACGGCGCTCTTCGCTGTAAGGTAAAGGTCCCAGGTTCGAATCCAGCGGCCCTGCATTCGAATCCGACGTACTTACCAATGGTTTTTTTTTCAAAAACACCGGCAACCCGAGGGTTGATATAACCTTTGCTGTTGCGAACCCCAGGAGAGCGATATATCTCCGCGATATTTTCACTCCGGAGAAGCTATGGAGCTTTTCCTTTCAGTGAACA